CCTGGGTCGGGAAGATCCCGTGGAGAAGGAAATGGCACCCCACTCCAGTACTCTTGCCTGGAAAATACCATGGATGGAAGAGCCTGGTTGGCTATAGTGCATGGGGTCGCAAAGAGTCATTATCCCTCAAACAAACTGAATCAATCATTGCTAACTAAGTACTCTGCTAGGCAGTGAGGGCACAATAATGAATAAAGCATGATTTCTATCCTCAGAGGAACTAACTTCCTTCTCATGAGGAAGATAAACTCATAGTTCCTGTCAAACATGGTGAGTACTGTGGAGTTTACACACAGACAGAGGCCGGAATTCTGACCCAACTCTGTAAGTCTTCAGAGATGCTCTTCTCCTCATATGACACCTTTTAAAACCAGGGCTTGCGTGGGACTTCCTGAAAAGACATTATGGTACACCAAGCTTTACTGGCTGCACTCACTTCTCCTTGGGAAAAACTCAGCTGCTGGCCCTGGACTTGCCTTAGCCTCTGCTACACAAACCTGTTTTCCGAGGCCAGCTCCTCTGTTCCAGGTCCTGTCCTGGCTCTGGCCCCTGCGTGGGCCCGTGTCTTCCATTCTTTAGTTTTAACCTCCTGTGGCTGCTAGGCCACGTTTGTCAGTCTGGCTCCGAACCCGTGAGCTCAGCCAGCCCCCGGCGCGCCTTGAGTCCGAGCATTCCTCCACAGCGCCTGTCATCCGGCAAGCCTGGCTTGCTCCTTCTTGGTAGAGATAACTCCCGTCTCTTCTTTAGTAGTAGCCTGGATTGACTTTTTATACCTTTCAACCCTAATCCAAGGGATTACTTGTATTTATATGGGATTTACTTTGCTACAAGCTACAGAGTCGACTACTGGAAATGGCTTCCAGTACAGACATTCATTTTGCCCGTTCAGGAGGTGTTCAGAACAGGCTGTTGCCGAGGCTGTGCGGTGGCTGGGTAAGGCGGTGAACGACCACTTCCGGCTTTCTGCGCTATCAGCCTTGGCTTGTCTGCGAAATGCCTCGTGGATCCAAGATGGCCGCCAGGCCAGAGTCAGAAACAGGAAGGGGCGGGGGCGAGAGAGGTCTCCCTTGTAGGTCTGCCGCTTCTGTCGGAAAAGAAAACAACCCTAGAGGTTTCTCAGAAGCGTTCTCTTACAGTTAATGTCCGGAAGAGAGTTTTATGGCTACTGCTTGCTATAATCGGAGAAGGCAATGGCACCCCACGCCAGTGCTCTCGCCTGGAGAATCCCATGGACGGAGGAGCCTGGTGGGCTGCGGTCCCTGGGGGCGCGGGGAGTCAGACACGACTGGGCGACTTCACTTTCACTTTTCACTTTTATGCACTGGAGAAGGAAATGGCAGCCCACTGCATTGCTTTCGCCTGGAGAATCCCATGGACGGAGGAGCCTGGTGGGCTGCAGTCCCCGGGGTCGGGGGGAGTCAGACACGACTGAGCGACTTCACTTTCACTTTTATGCACTGGAGAAGGAAATGGCAGCCCACTGCAGTGTTCTTGCCTGGAGAATCCCAGGGACGGCGGAGCCTGGTGGGCTGCCGTCTATGGGGTCGCACAGAGTCAGACACGACTGAAGCGACTCAGCAGCAGCCGCAGCAGCCCCTTGCTGTAACAGAAGCCTGGGGATATGAGTTATGGCTTTGCCTCTGTGGCAGAGGACAGCATGGGGCCTGGGGTTCGAAACCGCTGTTGGGTAAGCAAGCAACTGTGCCTGCCACACCAGCACCCAAGACCTCTGATTGTTGTTGTGCAGCCTCTCAGCGGTGCTGGACTCTATGACCCCATGAACTGCGGCATGGCAGGCCTCTCCGTCCCTCGCCATCTCCTGGAGTTTGCCCAAGCTCATATCCATTGAATCAGTGATGCCATCCAGCCATCCAGTTCCATCCAGAACTGTGATAGGACTTAATTTTTACTTTATACAACTTGACTCACATTGGCCCATACAGAAGCATTTGAATAGTGATCTTATAGTGTAATCTGTGTACATTATTTTTACCTGTCCTCGTTTTTTCCTGTCTTTTCAAGTTCATTTCTTAATGTTTTTCCATTATCTATTCCTTTTGATTTCTGGCTGCCATACCTGTTTTCTCAGGCCTAGACCTTTATCTTGTTGCTTTTTACCTTTAAAAAAAAATGTCTTGAACCTTTTTACCAGATGGCTTTCTTTATTCTAATACTAGAACTTCAGAAACCTCAAATGACATGTTGTTGTTGGTCCAGGCATAAACAGCTCTTTGCGACCCCACGGACTGCAGCACGCCAGGCCTCCCTTTCCCTCACCACTCCCAAAGTTTGCCCAAGTTTATGTCCATGGTGTCAGTGATGCCAGCAAACATCAAATGACATGAGGGGATGGTAAACAACTTATTATCAACTCATAGCCGTAAACATCTAAGTATATTACTTACTATTATATCTAGAGTAGGGCCTGATGGTGTAATTTTAAAAAGGTGCATGCCAGCCACACTTGCCCTAAGCTGAGCCACCTGAAACAGAAATGAATTTCTCCTAAACAGTGCATATGGCTTTATTTTTTCCCTCCTGCTTGCCTTCATTAAATCAGAAACAAAATAAAATACACAACAGTGACTACAGAGTCCCAGGGAAGCTTCCCACAGCGTCCTCCTCCACGCCCTCAGGGCTGCATAGGCAGGGAGGGGGACTCACTTCCTATTTGAGGGCAACAATGAGAGAGCAGCTCTCCGCATGCAGCGCAGGGCAGACCTCTCTCAGCAAGCCTCTTAGCTTGCTGCTGCTGCTTTCCAGATTCCACTAGTCATAAACAAGCTTTGAAAAATTTATTTAAGCAAATTCTATTGGTATTAATAAGGAGAGCAATCCTTTTTTGAATGCCTTCACACACAGAAATTAGTTACCTTTCTTATGGGCTTCCCAGGTGGAGCAGTAATAAAGAATCTGCCTGCGAATGCAGGAGACTCAAGAGACATAGGTTCAATCCCTGGGTGGGGAAGATCCCCTGGAGAAGGAAATGACAACCCACTCCAGTATTCTTGCCTGGAGAATTCCATGGACAGAGGAGCCTAGCAGGCTACAGTCCATGGGGTTGCAAAGTCCATGGGGAAATGACTGAGCACACACACACACATCTTTCTTATAATACTGTTTCTTCAATCCTTATAGCAAATTTGGAAGTCAGATATTAATTTATTTTACATGATATAAGCTGACAGCATCCCAATTTGATGAAAGAGCAATGAAACAACATTTGTCCCCAAATATTTTGACCTTTGTTTTGATCTGCCATCTGAAATTTTTCCATTATTTTTCTTACTCCAGAGATCTCCTTTGTCTTAAGTTGAAGTTCCCTTGAAGGAGAACCTGTGATTGGATTCTTGAGACAAGTGATTTATTGAGGGAACACTCTTGGAAGAAAAGGGATGGAGGGAACAGTTTAGGGTGGCAAGAAAGCTAAGCAAAGAAGTAATCTTGTCTAGAGACCAGCTGCAGCCTGGATGCTTGGAATACAGATTATACCATGGATTTGTCCCCGTCTTCAGGAAGGGGCTGGCGTTTGTCATGCCTGTGTTGTTTGTCATTGGCTGTTGGGTGTCTATGTGTGTATATATCTGTCTGTAGTAAAAAGGCATCATCCATTCTGCTGAAACATTGATCCAGAGAAAGGGGAAGCTGTGAGCTTTTAGCAGGCAATAGTCACAGTGGCTGGGGCTGGTGGTGGTGGGTGACCCAGCATTTTGGGGGAAACCTGGAGCATCCACTACTGTCCACTTCTTGCACTGTTCAGACTTACTGGCTTCTCCCATGGAGTTTATTCCATCCAGGCACAGCCATGCCCCAGTTGGTGGGGGAGCTAGTGGGATAAATGATAACCCCCACACTGTAGCTGGTCTTAGGGTGATTTTTGTTTCACCTCTCTCTCACTTTCCACCGCAGACCTCGTCCTCTTAACTAGCACAACCATCGCTTGCACAGTGGAGTGTATTCTCAGTCCTGGGGGATTCTGAGCCTCTGGTGATTGGTACCCTCATCAGACGGTGATTGCTGTACCTGCCCATTCACATTTAAAACCAAGTGAGTGCCGAGAGTGGCCCCTGAGCGCCACACTGATTTTTATCTGTCCCTAATATATAGCCGCAGTTTATCCCTTTGACAGTCAGGGTCAATTACCCCCTCCAGTGTGATAGCTCCTTTTTATGACAGCTGGATTCCTGTTACAATGAGTCCAAGGTAACCACATGTCAGCTATAGCTTTAAGTTTAATGGGCCCTGTCCTATTCTGTTTAGTGGAAGTATCCCTCTTGGGACCAAGGGACTAATGATAGCTAAAGTCGTAGGAATGGAGAGCGCAAGTCAGTCACTGTAAGTGATGGTGAATGGGGTCATTCTTCTATCTCCCCATTGGTTCCCATGGACCCATTGGGTCCATGAATTCTAGATACTGGCAATATAGCATCTTATAATGATCATTGGCTTAAGGTGTAATTGGCATTATGAAGAATGATACCCTTTCCCACAAGGTGTCATCACCAAGCTGATGCATCATCTCTGCTTTCAAGCTGCTATTCTATAGCTCTATCCAGTTCTGGACACCAGCCCCTTTCTGAAGAAGGAGACACATCCATGGTATAATTTGTATTCCAAGCATTCAAGCTGAAGCTGATCTCTAGAAAAGATTACTTCTTTGCTTAGCTTTTTTGCCACCCTACCCTATATGGTAGGGCCAGTGTTCCTTCCTATTCAAGTAGCTTATTTGAGCCTTCTGAACCTGCTTGAGCCTGATCTGATTTCATTTTCTGATGAATCACTTTCATTTTCTGACAAATTGTTGCTAGACCTACTCGATCTGAAATGACTTTGTGGTTGTGACAGTATACATCTATAAAGTAGTATGAAAGTGAAAGTGAAGTTGCTCAGTCGTGTCCAACTCTTTGCGACCCCATGGACAGTAGCCTGCACCAGGCTTCTCCGTCCATGGGATTTTCCAGACAAGTGTACTGGAGTGGGTTGCCATTTCCTTCTCCAGGGAATCTTCCCGTCCCAGGGATCGAACCCAGGTCTCCCGCATTGTAGGCATACACTTTACCCTCTGAGCCAGCAGGGAAGCCCTATAAAGTAGTTACATCCAGACTAATAGTCTGGAAGGGTAAATGCTCAGTTTCTACCAGGGGCCCGGCCAAGCCAGAAGCTGCTTTTCAAATATTGTGTAGTTTCTTCTGCAGACAGCATGGTTTTGATCCAGAACCTAGAGGTTGCTGCTATGTCTTTCCTGGCCAGAGATTTGACAGAGTGTCCTTGTCCACTTCAGACACCTCTAGTAACATGGGATCTGCTGGGCACTTCAGGGCTACTTGTTCTTTGGCCTGTAGCTGTTGCAAAGCCCTTCTTTTTGAGCCTTACTGTAAGACTGGCAACCTTCTGTGCCACTTATAAATGGATGTGTGTCTTCTAACCCCATCCAGCACTGCACTTTTTATTTAGAGATAGAGGGTGCAGGGATTTCGCTGGCAGTCCAGTAGTTAAGACTGAGCTTCTAGTGCAGGAGGAGCATGGTGGATCCCTGGTTGGAGAACTAAGATCCTGCATGCCGTGTGGTGTGGCCAAAAAAAAAGGTGCAAAATACAACAACTCATCCTTTCCATTTGAGGGGAAGTTCCAGCATGCCACCAGACTCCTAAATAATTCATCAGGAGTTGCAAATTCTTGGATCTTCATTGGGATTTTCTCCCATATTCTGGAGCATATGTGTCTTACAGTCAGGCACTTAGTATTTTTTGCTCATCATGTCTTACTTAGATGTGCTGTTAATACCGGTGGGCTAGTATGTGGTTCTGGGTAATGTCCATAACTGCCCTCTCACCCAAGTCTCCTAGACAAAGGGAGTGATTCTCTGTCTAGAGGGAGAGGAAGCTGAGAACAGTTTGCAGCCACCACTCATGACAACAGAGACAGAATACCAGAATGGTGAAGGGAAGGGAGAGTGCGGGATAGACCCCATAGCATCCACCACACCCTGGAAACACGCAGTGGTACCTGGAGATAGTGGAGGAATGAT